GGGGAACAGGGGAACAGGCAATGGGGGAACAGGGAATAGGGGAACGGGAATGGGGGAATGGGGGAACGGGAAATGGGGGAACGGGGAATTGAGGAACGGGGAATGGGGGACAGGGAATGGGGGAACGGGGGAAGGCTATCTTTAAAATAGGTAACGGGAATGCAGGAATGGTTGAGTGCGGGAACCGGGGAATGCGGAAATGTAGGTCAACAAATTTTTCTTGAAACAGTCTAGCCAAAGAAAGATGCAAATACGTGTTGAAAGGAAATCCACTGTATTGCAATTATTTAAATGAAAGTGTTGGCGTGCACAGACTCTTTATTAATATGACTTCGAAAACAAAAAGAAAATAGTCGAACTACGGTAGAAGCAATATTCGTAGTGTTTTAATAATATAAAATGATATATTAAAAATACCTATATTTTAAGTATTTTATTACTGTGCATTAATACAATATTATTCAAGGTGTTCTTCAGGGTGTTCTTAGTGAAAATTTAAATTACTAAAGTAAAAAGTAAGGGAGCATTATTAATGCCGGGGGGCAGATGATATTTCTAAACTCATGGTAAATTTTTTATGGCCCCTCTTTCAAAATCTTTTTTTCATGCCCCCCTTTAAATATAATAAATTTTCATAGCCCCCCCCCCCTCTTCCCCCTGTGATTGAACTTGCATTCCAAACATATACTATAGATCATAGGTGGCCCAATCTCGCAAGAGACAGTATAGACTTGTATATTATAGCAATGTATATTATAGTAAAAATATGTAATAAAATATAAATTTTAAAATGAAATTGACTTGTCTATTCGATAGTGTGTGTTCTCCTTTAATTCCTCTTTTGTTGGACTAATATTTTCCGAAACTTTGCACTCGATCAGTCTCGATGGTACTTGATCCTTGCGATTGGGCTAGTGTGGTGCAATTAATGATTTTCGATGGCTGGGGGGGGGGGTCCGGGAAATCCAAACAACAAATCCAATATGGTGGGGAAATTTATCTTTATCTTGTATAAAAACCACATGGACAAATTGAACTAAATTTTGGCACAAGAATGAGTTTAAAAAACATAGTGTGGCAAAACGATCCTGTGGAGAATACCCGGAAACAGTTTTAAGAAATAATCTCGGCGAGATGCAGCGAAACGTGACTATGTAAATCTGTAAATATACAATTTATATATATCAAAAGATTTTCTTAATACTCTGAACATATGTTATTTGAGTTTGAATCATTTGTCCTAGTTTAAGCTATGTGCCTTTATGAGTTTAAGATCATTTCCCAAGTTTGTTTATGCCAAATTGCTTACAAAAAGAATTAAAAACTCTTGACAAAATGAAGTTGAATTTTAAAGAAAACTATTTTGTCATCATGTCATGCATAAAATAAATAAATAATCACACGGACAAGTCGTGCAATTAATTATTAATGGTTGTGCAATTTTGGCACATTTTTCAAACATCACTCGTGGTGTTAATATTTAATTGCACTCCTTCCCGTGTGATTACCTATACTTATATTATTATATAGCATTGACATTTATATTACAGTGAACTATAATTGCCGATGTTTTATGATTATTGTACATTATTTTTGGTGCCCCCTACCTTTCTTTGATATTTTTGGTAGCCCCCCCCCCCAAGTGGTTAATACATTTTTGGTGCCCTCCCCACAAATATCTTCCGCCTTCCTGCCCCACACCCAGCATTAATAATGACTGCTCCCTAATGTCAAAAACTAATATTAAATTTGAAAATCTACTATTCAAACGACAGTCAACAGTTCATGAATTTTATCGATGTTTTATTGATGCTTTATGCATGCTTTATATGTCTTATACAGTATATGTACAATAATTGTAAATATGCTAAATATTGTAATATACAGTTAAATTAATAGTTGCTATTAATATTAATATATATAATTATATTTACTTTATTTAATTATAATATTACTATTAATAAAGAGTCCGTGCACGCCAACACTTTCATTTAAATAATTGCAATACAGTGGATTTCCTTTCAACACGTATTTAAATCTTTTTTTGGCTAGAAATTTCAGGAAAAATTCATTAACCTACATTCTCGCATTCCCCCGTTCCCACATTTCCCCATTCCTGTTACCTATTTTAAAAATAGCATTCCCCCATTCCCTGTCCCCCATTCCCTGTTCCCCCATTCTCTGTTCCCCATTCCCCCATTGCCTGTTCCCACATTCCCTGTTCCCCCATTCCCTGTTCCCCCATTCCCCGTTCCTTATGTTACTGGGCAATTTAGACATCGACTAAAATTACTGAATGCGGCACATTTAAATCATGGCGGCAATAAACCAGGCAATAATTTTGAGGCAAATTTTAAAAATACGGAGACAAAGACGGCAGAAACAACCCCGAATAATTCATTTAATTTGCTGTCTCTTATGTTAATAAATCCTAAAAAAATTCGGATTCGTACGTGGCGTGGGTTTGTCAGAACAATTTCTTGGCGTAATTGGTGGAATAATAGATGGTCTATACGTTTCAGAAAAGCTTTTCAGGAATACGTTTCGAATACCACGTAATATTTTTTCCACCGGTCTTGCTAAAACAAGGGCACGACTTGGAGAAATCAGCTAGAACAGAAAATCCAATATCACTAGAATGTAGACTTGCGATTTGCCTGTACAGGTTGGCACGTGGTGATTATTATTAATTTATTATACACTTTCAGCAATGTCTGGCCTTGGCATTACCACCATGCGGTATCCGGCCAAAACGTCCCCGTGTCAAAACGTCCCCGTCTCCACTAGTCAAAACGTCCTTGTCTCCGCTGGTCAAAACGTCCTCATCTGTATTGGTCAAAACGTCCCATGTGTTTAAATCAATTCAAATTACTATAAGTAAATGCTAAAGCTATTTATGTTAGATGCCTTATCAGTAAAGCTATGGGTCTACAGGAAACACTCATGATGCCATGATTCTGCAGGCAACCCAGCTTTTGAAAGATATTTATAAGTAATAACATGACTAGAGGGAAATTAGCGACTAAATTTCCCGACGCCGAGGTAAGATTTGTGAAAGTCCGAGGGCGAAGCCCGAGGGCTTTCACAAATCATCCCGAGGCGAAGGGAAATTTAATCGCTAATTTCCCGACTAGTCATGTCATTAGTTTGTAATATTATGATCGCCGAGGAAAACTCAAAAATGTTTGCTGCAGAGATAAGTTTAGCTGTTTGATTTTGTATTTTTCAATGAAGTTGTTTATGAGTTTGACTATTGATTGAAATAAGTGTACTTTTGGGACATGCTTTGTTGTTGTGAGACTTATGTAAATCACTGCATTGATTTTAAACTTAGTTTTCGAATATGGCTGCAACTGGAAGGTTCTATTTTGTGTCAGACCGGACAGTTGAAAATGTTCGAAAAGATAGAGTGCCAAAGAATACCATAAGGCACAAATGTGTACAACGCATGGGTTAAAGAGAGGAACGAGCAGTTTAAAGATTTTCAGGCAGAAAGAAACGAATTTCAGAGGATCTATAAATGCTAGCCACTGCTAGTCACGTAAACATAAACATAAATATAAACGGACGTTGATAGCATGAATTTTACAGTTGGTCTAGAGTTGGAGTTTCACGTTTAATTGTTTATAGCAAAGTCATACTTGCGTACATTTAAAATTTAATATGTTGAATAAAATTGTTGAGTGCATTTTTGATGAGGAGGATTAGTAGACAAAGAAATCTTTTGTTTTTTACTAAATTTATATTTCCCGGGGAAATTTAGTAGAGAAAGCGAAATATTCCCTGTTGCATGCGTAATGAGGAAAATACGGGATTTAAATTCCCCATGAGCACAATAGAAAACGACGCGATCATGATATTACTATGAAAATAACATTATTCCTTTAATTTCAAGGAGATTGTTGTTGTGGCAGATTTTGCATTCCTTTTACATCATGAATCATAAAACCGTACACATGCATGCATGTGCCGTTCTCACACCATGCAGGGCAAAGATACTTCTATGATAATTAGCGTTTATCTCGTGCACGAATGGTGACTGAATGTGCTTATGGGCAATTGAAGGGAATTTGTTTTGTTTATGAAATGCGAGTGCAATGAGCAAACATGAAAACAGTAACATTGGCTGGTATAGTATTTGTCAAAGCCAAAACGCCAGGCTTAAAACTTTTTATTCCGAAGTCTTCTCTGTTACCATATTCATGATAAAATTAATCATGTAAATTTTTATTGAACTATACGTCTTTTTGTGCGTTCCTTGCCAGCTTATTCGAGTTTTCATATTCGTGTTTTATCTCTTTCAAATTTTCAATTTTTGTCAGTTTAAAAATACACAGCTGCACTAATCTCAGATTAGTTCGCAAGCAACGCTGGAATTTTATTGACTTTAATTTTTACATCTGATAAGAAATAAACACATTAATTATACCGGGAAGCGTCGGTCCGTGTCCTCAGTCCTGAAAACGTCCCTCGCCCTTCGGCTCACGCGCAGCTTTCAAAACCTCCGGCACAAATTTTCTCATCCCGACCACGCAGCCGGCGAGTAACGTATAGTCATTATATGGCAAGCATTTGTTTTGATGAATCGAGCAATTGGCTGTTGACGAGGCAGGATTTTCCCGTATTGCCCACGGGCAATACGCAATTTTTCTTGCCCTATGACGAGAGCCGAGTTTCAAACGGAAAAAAGTGTCTATAAGTCTTTTAAACTATTCAATACAAAGAAAAGTGAACACTGATAAAATAAAACAAACTTTAGGGAACAACTGCTGTGGTTAAAGAACTTTCCCAATACGTTTTTGTTAGCGAAAGTCGAAATTACAATTCTTGGCAAGGGTATAGAATACATGGAGAAAAATACAATTATAATAAATCGAGTAACGTTGCCAAGAATGTTCTGGTGAAACACAAGGAAGTGCTCGAGTCTTTTTACCAATTCAACGATCTATTAGATCAATGACGTTTTTGTTTTGTAACACACACCATAATGACGTGTGCTATACAGTCCAAGGTCAACTTTCAGGTCAACCCAAAAAGTAATACAAAGCTCTTTTAAAACGTTCTTTGTTCTGAAAGAGAGTTCTAAAACTCATGCAGATATGTATTTTAATGACGGGATCCTGAAAGATGTTGTAAATCTGTTATTTTTAACTATTCTTTCTTGAATATATACTTCTTGGCAAAGGTAGAATACATGGAGAAAATATATAATAGATCGAGTTCGGTTGTCAAGAATTTTCTGATTAAACACAAGGGTCCACTTGATTCTTTTGATGTGATATATGTTGGCGGAACACTAGAGAAGCCTACACTCATACAGTCCAATTCAACGATCTATGAAATCAATGACGTTCTTGCTTTACCACACACGTCATAATAACGTATTGCTATACCAGTCCAAGTTCAACTTTGAAATCAATCGAGAAGGAATACAAAGCTCTTTTCTGAAAGGTTCGTTGTTCTGACAGAGCACTATGGAAACTCAGATATATATGTTTAAGTTTTATGAAACTACAATTAAGTTAGAAAGTTCTTGAAAGATAAGATGTTGTAATTTGTAAGGGAAGTTTGAACAGTTAGAACCTGTTTAAATATTGGGTTTCTTTTTTGCCCACGCAGGGTATGGCCCCAGAGGGCCAAAACCCAAGGATACATATATTGAAGTCCCCTATATATATATATATATATATATATATATATATATATATATATATATATATATATATATATATATATATATATTCAATATTGAATTTGTGCGTAGTGAACTAGAGTGCTCAACACCAATAAATCAGTAGAGCAAATAAAAAGACATAAACAACAAATTTCAATCTTAAAATTTTATTTCATCGCTTTGCAAACCTTAAACTCTAAACCTTAAACCTTAAACTCTAAGCGCGCAAAGCATAATGGGAGTACTGATTTCAAGCTTTGTAGTTGAATATTTCAGCTGTTTGTGAGTGAAATGTTTTCGCAGGCACATATTTACCATGTCTCTAAGAAATGGGCTCCATGTATACTTTCTAAACTGCTTAAATAGTGCTCCCATACACTTTGCGCCCCTTAGAGTTTAAGGTTTAAGGTTTTAGAGTTTAAGGTTTGCAAAGGACAACCTTTATTGAATTAGCTGTATATATATATATATATATATATATATATATATATATATATATATATATATATATATATATATATATATATATATATATATATATATATATATATATATATATATATATATATACACGGTAAATACCAGAGGCAGAGAAACTGTTTAAGTTTTTAAGTTTTTTGGGCACGCTGGGTAATATCGCAAAACATTGGGGGTTATTGAAGTCCCCGCACGTAATATAATATAAATTGTTTAAGGTCAAACAGTTACGCAAGATTAAAAACTCCGTCTATCAAGATTCTATCAAGTATCAACTATACGATTTTTCTGACACATTAATCAAAACAGGAACCAAAAGACTTGGTTCACGCATCAGTCAGTCAAAAACAAATACCAAAATAAAAAATCGAACAAAGCTTAACACACAACGGTCACATTATAAAACGTGACTCATAGTCATTGTTCCATTATATTGAAAAGCGTCATTCCTTCGGCCAGAGAGGCGCACAAGGAACAAGTTACACATTGTCACTGTTTCACTTTTAAAGTTCGTCCAATTTTATCAATCTTCTAAGCGTTTTGAAAGAAAGTCAGACTGTAGTATAATAACATTTTGTCGTATTAATATTTGTACATTATCATAAGGCATGATCATTTTTAATAACAGCTAGTTAGTACACCATAATCATCCGGAGGCAGTTTTAGTGTAAACTATTTCTAGTTTAAATTTATTTAGAATGTTGAAACTCTTTCTCGACAGGCCCCTATTAACAAATAGCTTTGGTACTATAAGACTTTAACCTTGGACTGTATAGCATCACGTCATTATGGCGCGTGTGACAAAGCAAGAACGTGATTGATCTCATATAGATCGTTAAATTGGATTACGAGTGTGGGTTCCTTTAGGGTTGTATTTCCGGTTGGAATTAGCTCACCTCGAGCTTACAGTCGGTCCAGAAAAGAAAATACCGAGATAAGGATGCAAATTTGAAGATACGGTCTCGATACTCTAAATAGTGTTTTTCATCGCAACTAGTGTCCGAAGGGGCCGAAGTTATGTTCGGCGAAAGGTATAGCTAGTTTATATTTTTGTTCAGACCATCGCGTAATTTGTTTGTATATGATTTCGTTTGGGTTTCAAAGCCATAAATCGCTAAAATGTTAATAATGTCTATGGCTATGGCGAGGAATTAGACATACAAAGCCGTCAACCTCTAGATGATGAAGAGATTGGCACTTGCCAATAAAGAGTTTAAAACCGGACCATTTTAAGTATTGGTAAAGGGCTAGAATTGATTTGATGATGTGAAAAACTGAGCAATATCACATGCATCTGTAGTTTGATAAAATAAAACATTTATACTCCCACGAAGATCCGACCACCTTCCTGACGTCAAATGACGTCATGTTAAATAATTTCATCACGTTTTAAGGTCCAGATACACCGGACGCGATTCGACAACGCGGCGCAATTTTTTAGTTTTTGAAAGTTAATAAAACAGCCAATACGAGCAAATTTTGAAATATATGTAGACCAAATAACTCAAAATGTTATAGCGCTTCTAAATATTTGGAAAATTTAAACCAGGATCAAAGTTATATATGTCAGTGAAAATCGAAAAATCGCGTCACGTTGTCGAATCGCGTTAGGTGTGTCTGCACTTTTACTTCCTACATGACTCCACAGGACGCCACGAAACATCCTAAATCCGGCCCAGAGTCTGTTTGTTTGGTTGAGTAGCCTACATCCTGCTCTCATTCTGATTCTTTATAAGCTCGCCCCTGTACAAAACAACAAACTGTTAAAGTGCTATGACACATATTGATATAATGCATCTAGTGAAGATTATCTTGTTCGCTATTGCGACAAAGTTTGTGTCATGTCGTCCAGATGGAGCTCCGCCAATCAGTTGTGCAAATATGCAGCCAGGTCACTTTAATCCAGTGTTAGGTAGACTAAGTGAAGGTCAATCGAAATCTAGTCCGTACATATTGGCTGCTAGGTGGGACAAGCGTATGAAAATGATTCGTGTTTCAGTAAGGGGTGATAGAATACAAGGTTTTCTCATCCAAGGCAGAGTGAATATCAGCGGACCGGCTATTGGAAGTTTTGTTAACATCACTGAAAATCCTGATGCCACGTATCAAGATTGCTCACTTTTTACTAAGGTAAGCGAGGCAACGTTACCCAAAAGCAAAATAAGCTTCAAATTATGGCTGGTCTCAATAAATTGTATAATATATATATATATATATATATATATATATATATATATATATATATGTTTGTATGCTTTGACTTTCTTCATAATGGACCACTTTATTGTATACTGACTTTTTTCAGACTTCAGTTTCCAGACGTACTTGAACAGTTCGGTGTTGTTCTTCTTGTTGTTTCTTTTCTTCTTGTGTTTGCTCTTGTCGCTCTGACTTGTTTTCCAAATGTAGACATGTAACCAGATACCTGCTTAATCAAGTTGTAAAATGATAACCTATATTTATTATGAATATTGAATAATATCTGTCAGTTGCCTGATGATCGCGTAAAGCGTGAAACTCAGAGTAGCGACTAGCGACGCAAACATTCAAACCTTGACAGAATTAATTCCGCTCTACTTATTATGGTATTGAGCGCTCTTCTACCTTACGTCAACTCATCGACTATTTTTTTTTGAATATAGTCTTCAGTATATATATATATATATATATATATATATATATATATATATATATATATATATATATATATATATATATATATATATATATATATATATTTATTTATATTATACGGGAATGGTTTGGGCTTATTTGCAACTTCCGCTTTATTATTATTATCGTTAATTAATGTCAACAGCAAAGTGGCTAAAATTTACACAACACACAACTTAAATCAATAATATATATTACATATTCCGTTCTCGAAAATCACTAACTGAATAATGGAATATAGCATGTTCGTTTCTTTATTGGCCGTGTATTTATATTACTAACGTAAATGTATCATCTCGTTCGTAATATACAGTAGTCTAGAGGAATGAGACAATCGTGCGGCTGTTTTTACATGCTAGAACAAGTATGTCCAATACTGTCGCATTTAATTCGAAAGTCGTGTTTCGCGAGTCGTGGCTTATAAACATTAGTAAGATCTTTCACGATATGTGATATTGTTAGATTTCACAGATTGTCGCATTCAACGACTTGTGAAATTCACAAGTTGTGACTCACGACTTGTGCTTTAACCATTAGTAAGACCAGGGAATTACTGACGACTCGTCAAACTACTGTAGTGAAATTTCACGTCGAAAGTGACATTACAAACCATGACTCTTATTCTCGAATGTGTATGGGATTGTTCATTACCCCTCTTCAAAACAAAAGTAGCTCTTCAGTTGTAGAATATCTGAAATATATACATGTTCCATTTGCTTCGTTTCAGACTCTTAGTCAACATAAAAAGCGCGATAATTACTCGGTGTAGTAAATCCCTAATATTCTGTCTTCTGTTTTCTTCGTCGTCGAGAAATCGAGTTTGCGTTAGCGCATCGCAGGCTCAGACTGCAACGATTAAGCGGCCAAAATGGCATCGATTCCTCGATTTAAATATTATACAGTGTAGGCTAATTTCCAAAAGGACAAGAAAATTTTTCTTTGTGTTAAAGTCATTAGTTCCAACCTAGAGCTAACAAGACAAAGAAAATTTTTCTTGTCCGTTCCAATCCACGGACAATTTTCCTGAGTGGATATCAGACTCCAAGGGTAGAGTGCATCGGCGACATATTCAGTTCATCTTTAGATTGGCGGCTTTCATGCACTGAGTGATCTGTATATATATATTTGACACAGTTTTGTTGAATTTTCAAATAATTTTGCCGGTTTCCTATGGATTTTACGTTGTGTCGCACTCTGGACTTTCTTACGTGTTGAAATAATTTAAATGTGTTTTTCTTTGTGTAACGAATCGAAAACTGTTTGATAGTTTGACTACACAACGTAGTTTTAATAAACAATTAAATAATAGCCATTTAAAAACGCGGGCGCTGTTTGTCGGTCAAAAGCCGAAAAAAACCTTGTACATGTCTTTTTAAAAAAATATTTACTGGTGTCTTCTTGATCATGTTTACTATCGTTTTTTATCGTTATTAATCATGTTGAAACGTTTACTAACTATTTAAGACTAGAAATACATGCAAAAATAGTCGAAAGATTATTGCTTTTAACTATATTACAATGAATTTCTGTGGGTTGCCCACAACGTTTTGGCCAGCATTTTACTAGCTACAATCTTAGACATAACTGGTTGAGGCTATTTTCCCGCTATAGAAAATCTGTATATTTTTATGATAAACTCCATGTTGAATCACGTTGTCTTGAACTTGGGGAAGGGGGAGACAAAGTAATTTGTCAATGTTAAATAATTTTGTAATTTTGTCCAAGATTGTAGGGCCGCTTTACATTAACACGTCCCGACCGGTCAGAACGGTAAAATGTTGAATGGAACACAAAATGTTTGGGCTTCGGATCTATCTGACCGAAAAATTTACGGATAAAATTATAGTGAGGTCGATTTTCGCTACAAATATTTAAGAAACATAGACCTGCAGATCTCTCCATTGATACCAAGGCAAAAATTCGCATCTGACCGGTCAGGTCATTGAATGTAAAGCGCCCTTGGAAACCTCGTTTTGCTCAGCTTACAGAGACGATTGCATGGGGACAAGTCAGGCCAAGAAATGCTTCTAATTTTAATGATTTTTGTTAATTAGTCAGCAATTCCTGCCCGAATTGTAGTCTTTTCAATCAAAAATATTCATGTACTGTGTGCAAAAATATAATGAAAATGGACCTTTTTCTGGTGGAGGGGCGAAAACTAATTTTGTGGAGTGACATAAGGGGAGACTGGGGGACTGGGGAGCAGGAGAAAACGGCCCTAAGTTTAATTATACCTTTTTTCTTTTATGTTCAGTTTGGTAAATATTCGAGCGTTACTCACAGCAACAGAGAATACCAGGAACATTTGGAGTTCTATTGGAAGCCACCGACGAACATTACTGGTAATGAGATTGACGTTACGTTTTACGCAACCTTAGCTAAAAATAAGAACATTTATTGGATCTTTCAACAAAGTAACACGCTACCTATGAATATGGAAGATGTCGAGGTCACTACTGGGACAACTACTGGGACAACTACTGGGACAACTACTGGGACAACTACTGGAACAACTACTGGGACAACTACTGGGACAACTACTGGGACAACTAATGGGACAACGACTGTATGGAACCACTACTGGAACCTGTACTGGAACAAATACTGGAGGAACTACTGGAAACACTATACTGTAAGTAATTATTACGATTCATTTAGAAAAACTAAAATTTTTTAGTACATAAACATGAGTGTTATATAGCGATTTTGGTCACTGAGAAAAATCGCATTTAAACACATGTAAAAATACGATATTTTTACGTGTAAAATATCATTGTTGCTTGCCAATCAAAAAGCGCGTAGGAAATATGTTTGACCAATAGGAGAAGTTGCTGTAAAACGCATTGCCACTGATGTTTTATTGTTTTTCAATTTTGCCTTTTTGGGTAACAAAAAGTTTTTTGTCAAAACATTTTTTACCGACTTGGCTAGAAGGTTCATGAGTATTACAGACGACTACGTCGAAATATTTATTGAAGGAGAAGAAAATGAAAATATTGAAAAAATACGGAGCAAAATATCTCGCTTAATCTCAAGGTTATTCATTGCAAGCGAAAAGCAGACAAATGAGCCAGTTGAAATAGAAAAACTATGGTTAGAAGAACTACACAATATAGTTACCTCAGAGAGTTCCTCTTGGCTGTAAGGGAAACGAACGGTGATGAATTTAAGCCGACTACGCTTCGTGGTTTTTTGTCTTCAGTTGAATGATATCTCGAGACACATCGATGTAGTGAAGGGACACTCTCAAGTCGATTAAACAGAAAGAAGTTAAACGCAAAAGGAAATAAAGCACAAGAAGCACCATCTCTAACCCAACAAGAGATTGACACTTTATACGAAAAGGGTGCAATGGCCTTGAATATCCCACAGGCACTTGTTCTTAACAGCATCTGGTTCAACAACAGTACGTATGCAGTTCGGGCTTCCCGGAGGCAAAAGAACTGCACGAGTTAAAGTGGGGAGAAACAGTCTATAGCGGTAAAGAATATCTTGAATACAGCACTGAAAGACAAACAAAGACATGCAAGACATGGAGACAATCTTGCAAACACGAGGTCAGTGAAACCACATATGTATGAAAACATTTACTTGTACAAGTTTTTCATGACGAGACGGCCCGATCGAAAAGACATTAAGCATTAATTCTCCATTATACCTATCAGTTAACCACACCAGCGCCAGGAAATTACATTGCCAGAAACTAAATGGTTCAAACCCCAACCGATGGGAGTAAACAAACTCAATTCGTTGAAGAAGGATTGTGCAGAGATGGCAGAAATTGGTCTTGACAAACGCATTACCAATCACAGTGCTCGAAAAGACACTGGTAGAAACACTCCCAGAACTCCTAAAATTAACGTTCCGCCAACTCAAATAATTCAGGTTACAGGCCACAAGAACTTGCAGTCTGTAAATAACTATATGAGCACCCAAAGAGAAAAACAGCAAGAAGATATATCTATCATTTTGTCCTCAAGCTCGTGACACACGGTAAATTTTGCAGAAAATTTGTCGACAAACTTGAAACAAGTTGTGTAACTTGAAATGGAATCCATTCAACGTAGCCACGAAAGTCTGCCGTCTACCTCGTCCAAAGCGCTGTTTCACGGCAATTACATAACTTGAGAAACATTCAATGTGCACGTTGCCTCAAATTCTTCAGCGCAGTCCCACATAACGATCTCATGGAGTCGTAAAAGCAAAAGGCTTCGTCCTCTTCTTGCTTTGGAAAGTAGCAACAGCATGCAGTAAAGGTGACAGTCATAACAATTAGCTATGAATCTAAGTATGTTTGCTAAGACTTTATGGATTTGAAATGATTCTTTATACTTCACAGTTTCCGTTCGTATTTGAATTACTATAGTTTTATATACGTAAATTTCTGCACTGAGATATGTTTCTATAGAGACATTCACGGAATTTTAGCTGAACATTGTTATTTGAAATGTATCACTATTTACATATTTGTTTTGAATTTCAGTATATGAATTGATTTTTGTTGATAATAATAATTTAATTATTTATAAGGAGAATAAACACAATATTATACATGGTTGCTTGGAAATATGGAATTTATTTATCGTGTTGAAGAGAATATTGCTCATTCTGGGGCAACATTCTCCTCAACACTCGAAATAAATTACATATATCCGCTCATCCATTTAGTACTTTCTATATATTCCTAGCTTTGGCGGAAAACTACCAGGTAAAATGCGAGTCGTATTCTATCAAACCGTGAACGATATACATGTAGCTACATTGAAAAATTTTTAATATATAGAGCATCATGATTCTCGCGAAAGCGAGTGAAGACTCCGTAAGATAGTTGCTGCAATATCTGAAAAAGTAGTAGGCATGCAGGAGATTCTTTATAAAAAATGTGTGATCCAGAGTTGGTTTGCTACGCAAACATAAAACTTTGAGGAAGATTAACTGACAGCTACTCAAACTAAACAGAAAATAATTGAACATCTCCACGTTTCAAGCAAAGGCTCTTCGTCAGGAGGTTCAGCGGAAACGTCCTGAGGGTAGAAATCGAGCTCCACAAAGTTTTGAATTGCCTATTTACGTTCAATGCTATCACTAAAACGCTTCTCTTTATTTGATAATTGTTTGATAATAGAACGTAGAAATAACGTTTAGATGAGCGTTTCAATATAATTTAGACAAATGTGGTTGAATATGTATCACTGGGAAAAAACGTAAAATCCATACTATGACATTTCCAATTGCACGACTAAATCCACAGTGTATCCATATTATTTCGATACTATAGCCATGGTATGGAAATATACAAATATTATATGGTAAAACGGGTAATCAAAAGTCCATTCTATTTCTAACAAAGGTGCGTACAATTTCTATCCTATGGATTTTCAAATTTTTCCCAGTAGTTTGTATGCGATTCATTTAGGACAGGTAATCTCAACTGTTTTTGGGTAAAATGACCATGGCGGTCAACATAACATGGCATATGTGCGAAAACTTGAATCCGGCGCGAAAGTCCAGAAAATGACCCCGCCCTGAAACAGAAGTGTCGACATAGCTCTAACTTCCAAAAGGGAAAAGCGATAGTCTTTCTGAAGTGCTTATGGTGTTTAGAAGGGTTGCTTTTAATGGTGGTCATTGGAAGGAAAAATTTGTCTAAGTATAATATTTTACCAGAAAATGACCATACACCCCAGGTAAAATTCTGATTATGCACAAAATAACTAATATGCCTGGCAGAAATTAACATTTCTTATTTGCTAAAAAAAAATTATCATGGGATGAAAAACTATGCTTAGTTCAATATAATTATTGTGGATTTCATAAGGATTGTCATTGTTTTCTTTTAATATAATACATTTTATTTCACTCACCCCACGAAAACACGATTTCAGCCATATTTTGCCGTCCTGTATGGTTTTTAATCGCCGAGTCTCACAAATATCATCCAGTTCTTGTACTTTTACATAATAATAAAGGGCTAAAGAGTATATCACTCAAGTTTCATGAAGTTTTGGAACTGTGCAGTGTATTTTATCTTCGATATTGTGTCCTTCGACATTTCGTCTAATTGCCGCCATTTTATTGGCTCGCCGGTTCTCTGTCCGATAAATGCCACTTCTCCATTTTCATATGTATTTAAATTACCGTATCCAAGAGTACTTCATTGTAGAATAGTACCAATCTAAAAGTTGACAACATTTGTCCCATTTGGGACAAAAACCCTCCCTTATGTTATACGGGAGGGTTTAGGTTCAAAATACGATATCGAAGAATATTTCAAAATTTTCTTTTTGGTAAATCGAACGTGATTCCTGTTATAATGTTGAAGTTTAACCTTTTCAGCCATTTCCAGACTTTAAATACTGTTTTTATTTCAGGAACGAAATGGAACATCATCAAACAAAGCTTCAGTTGTTGTTCTCTTATTGCTAACAGCAATAGTTTTCTTGTTTTCAAGATATTAGTTTCAATTGTTTTACATTATTGGTACTATTGTTCGACAGTACGTCGTATATGTTACACATGAAAGTTTTAAAAGCGTCGGTTGCATCATAAATAGTCCAGAATACAAGTCTTCCAGAGGCGCTGGAATATCGATAATTTTTTTTGGGGGGGAATATTCATATATTTGTATTCACAGACGGTAAAAAAATCGATTTCAAAAGAAATTAATTGGGCAGAACACGAATATATGAATATCTGCCCCCCCCCCCCATTTATCGATATTCCGGCGCATCTGAAGTCTTCTAAATATTCTATACTAGGTTGGAGTGATGAAATACTGAATTACAATCCAAACTAAATCTAATTATTTTAGGAATTATATATAATTTAATATGTATACATACTGATCATATTAGATGTAAAAAATCATAAATAAAATACCATGCATTACACAAACTATTACTGTTATTATTTATACGTATATATAAAATTATTAGTCGAGCCGGGTGATTATTGAGGATTTAGTATAAATTATGTAGGCTATAGCAAATTAGCTTTCGTGCCTTCTATAACTGACTAGCTGACGTATAAATCGGACGCATCACTTACCATCAAACTTTCGATGCGCACCAGCGTAGCAAGTTTTCAAACTTGAGTCTGGCACAATAGCAAGACCGCTCGACCACGCTGACAGGCTACTTTACATTTCGTGATCTTACTTTCTTAATAATGGATAAAAAATACTTTACTTAATTTAAAACAGAAGAAAATACAGTATCCGAGTGCAATTAATTCAGCAATCATTTGTCACCTCGCACGTTGGTACTCCTTCCATTGTTTCAAAATAAGAAACTACAGTAAATAAACCGTTGAAAGCATGATCTGGTGAAAGAATTTTCAGTCACTTTTGAACAATTAATATTGGGGCAATATAGTATAACAATTAATACTGGGACAGTATAGCGGTCATCATACTCGTTTTGCACGCGCAAGGTTCCCACTTCGATCCTGCGCAGAACCTTGCATTTGTTGTTTCATTTACAGGAAATGAACACAGGAAAACTTCGCATCGAGGCCAGAGACCCAGGAACTTTGCTTGATAATTCCCATTTTTCCGTAGTACAGTGGTCATTACGTGCGCCACACAAACGCATGGACCCAGTTCGAAACAGGGCGAAAATTACTAAATATAGCCAAGGCTGTTTAGTTATCGCATTAATTCAGAAAATGTATTCGCCTTTTTATTGAACCGTTGTCTTTTGACGCCCGATACTGGTACGTGGAACGTACAAAACACCATTCCCTTCTATTCCCTCACATTTCCCCTTTCCTCACCGATATATTGCAGGCGCATGTCCTGAATTTCTGGTCGTGTTATCAGGAAAGATAGATAACGGGTGGTGGAGGTGTGTCTATCTCCGTATTTCAATGAACTATAAATCCAGAAATGATCTTGTTCTGATGGTCTCGAAGCAGTTTGTTTAGCAATCTGTAAACCAAATAGCCGTAATCAATTGTTGCATATGTTTATCAACATGCATGATCGGGCTGCTTGATGACGAAAACAAAGAACTTCATATCTTAGGAATTTGAATTGTGAGATGCTAAAGATGTCTCTGACGAACTAACGAGAACACTGAAAGCTATTTATGAAGAATATCAAGTATCTCAATTAATCACTGAGGGCACACAAATAACTAATAGATCTTGTACTCTTATTGATCACTACGTAACCTCTATGCCAGAGAAAATTAATTTGTCAGGTGTAATACATGCCGAAATTAGTGATCATAGATTATTTTAATTCCAAGAGCAATAATTCTAAAAATATTAAATAAATAGTCAGGAAACTTTAAATACCTCCGGTGTGTCTACTCGTAATAGATATGAATTACTCACTGTTGAGAGTGATATAAACAGCTCTGTTGAACCAGAACAAAAACAAGAAAGTTCAGTAATTAACATAACACAAACAGTACAATCCTCACGGGATCAAGATCAGTTTAATGATTGCGCTGGGGAACAATGCATGACTGTTGAACGTACCAGAACAAAAACAAGAAAATTCAGTAATCAACATAACACAAACATTACAATCCCCACCGGATCATAGTCAATTTATTGATTGCGCTGGGAATCAATCACCAAATGCAAATCATAACAAGGAGCTCAAGTTTTCTAGTAACTCAAAACTCCGACAATCTACGAAGGGGCATACTTCACAAAGTGGACAAAAACGCATCAAAGTGTAGTATTAATTGGGGATTCAGTTATCTAGAGGAAAAAACTACAAAAGTTTATATACCCTGAGAAGACAGGAGAGGAAATAGATCGGGAGATCCGATACAAAGGCTCTAACATAAAGGCCACGCATGTTATACTGTAGTTCATTGTGGCACGAACAACCTAACAACTGATGCAGCAAATGTTTGTGTCCGCAAAATTCAACAACAATGTATGACGGCGATAAAGGTATTTCCAAATGCGCAGATTGGTGTGATGATATCCTTGTCCATGATAAAATAAGAGATGTAAACAATGCAATTAAAGAAGTGTGTGTAACAAATAATTACTCTTTTATACACCATAATAATATTGATGAGTCATGTTTAAACAAAAATGAGTTGCAGTTGAATGCAAAAGGATCCGCTCTACTTGCGGTTGATTTTATAAATTTCTTACGTGGAAGGAAACGATTATCACACATCAATAAGCAAAAAATTTGGTTGGAAGAAACATTACGCCTATTGGGAACTGTGCTTGGGATGGCGAGAAGGCGGACTCTCTAACATTAAGTTGTTTGAACTCTGAACCCAATATTTCATATTTAGTGCCAACCAATACGACTTCAATGGAACTTGATAATGATTCAGTTTCGATGAATTCAACTTTTCAATCGATTGATTTCAATTTTTCTAACTTAAAGGGTTTGAAGCAGTGACGTAGCCAAGGGAGCGAGGGGGCAACCGCACACCCAATCGAAAAAAATCCATTCCCTGAAAAAGGCAAAATCCGTAGAGAAATTGGGGGTTACACGTTACATTCCGGAAGATGAAACTGAATAAGTAAGTCTCGACTGAGCAAAACGACGATATACCGTAAACCAGTAGATCATATTCTTTTATTTATTTTTGCATGCTTAGACTTAGATATACAGTATATACTGAAGATTCCACCGTGGATAAATAAATTTTATAGTATTGTATTGTATTGTGTTGTGTTGCGTTGTGTTGTGTTGTGTTGTGTTGTGTTGTGTTGTGTTGTATTGCGTTGCATTGCATTGAATTGCATTGTATTGTATTGTATTGTATTGCAGTGTAAGTTTTACGTGGGAGAAAACTACTTGATATATCATGCAAAATCGCTGTGTCGTTTCAATTATTTTTTAAATAATTAAATGGTTATCAGCTAAAAATTTCTTCGTGGTGTGAGTTTGAAGCAGCATATTGACAGTGAACCTCGCGTTCTCTCTATTACTCAACCTTGAGATCAATCGCGGGAAACAGCTCTCAAATTTATTGCTTCGCTAAATATTGGACGGTAGGGCAGATTTTGACAGCTCGTCAATGCATTAATCAGTGTTTAGCATAAAACAGTTTTTAGGGAAGATTACGCTAGAACAGGTAGTAAAAAATGCGCAAGTTCTTCTCATTTCCATGGCGAAAACGGGGGGAAATGGAAGGAATAGAAGGAAAAGTTGATTGTGCAACCCGTATCGGGCGTCACAAGTTAACGGTCTATAAAAATTGGTTTAGCTTTTCACATTCGATCATGTACGCGAGTTAAAATTTGATAATAAACAACCTGGCTCCGCAACTCTCTCCACCGCAGAGGCTTACATGAAGTTTCTAGTGAGGGAAAAGTGAGCGCGCAAGGAGTGATGGGAAGAGCTAAATAAACGAAGCCTCTGCGAGTTAATGCAATCAATATGGCGTCGTAGATAATCGTTTGTAACTTTGTAGCGATGTTCGATCAACCATCGGGGGTGTTAAAACATGTTTTCCACTTTCATTTTCAGGCGTACTTGAGTATTCTGGGGTGAATTAAATATCAATATTTTCTTCCGTCCATTTCCATCGAAAAATATTGAGAAATTGCAAACGAATATCAATGGACACGAGCTATCTAATTTTAAATATCCTTTTAATTGCAACATTTCTTTATAAAAATGACTCTATTGAACTTCGATACTCAGATTATGACGATTAATTTCAATTTCTTTCACATTTCCGTCGATTTCAAGTTTGAAAAAGATCAAACAGCTACTTTGATTCAAAAACCATACTTCGTCGCATTATCTGCCTAAGCCTCCCCAACCTTATTTCAATCTTCCCATCACACCGCGCGCGCTCACTTTTATTCAGGAAACTTCATGGAAGTTATTTGTAAAAATACTTAAGGAGGCTCTGCGGAGGAGAGAGGCTCTGCAACATATTTACTATGTTTCCGCCCAGGTTCGAACTGGGAACCTTCCGCGTGTGAAGCGGACGTGATGACCACTATACTACAGAAACTTGCCTGGTGAAGCAAGAGTTCTGTCCTTTGCGGAAATTTGCTATTTTCATTTTCTTTAAATAAAACACCTAATGCATCCTTCTGCCCAGGATCGAACTGGGGACCTTGTGTGCGTAAAACGCATGTGATGACCGCTACACAATATCTGGGAAAGCGTTCAAAATTGACTGGAAATTCATTCATTTGATCCTCCCGCATAAGTCCGTCTGGATTCTTCTCGTGAAGCAACAGAAGGAGCACTGACGTGCGATGTAAGTAAGGATTGTTGACTTAGTTCCAGTCGGATATATTTTTCTGGTTTAAACGAAATATTTTTTCTCCATTATTAAGAAAGTGAAATGACGTAATGTACAGTAGGCAAAAAGGTTGCCAGCTTTCAGGATGACCGAGCGGTCTAAGGCCCCATACTCAAGTTTCCAAACTTGCTCCGCTGATGCGCAGTCAAAGGGCGTTCTGGTCCACTAATTTGGGCGCGGGTTCGAATTCCAGTCCTGACAGAAAATTTTAAAATTATTTCGTCAGGCCGTCGAATATATTGGTGCAATTGTTTATCTTGAGAATGATTACAAACCAGTGGAAACGTTGATTAAAAATCAAAATGTTATTTGGAGTTACTGTTATTTTGTATTTTGGAAACATATTTGACACTATTACGGAAACAAAATAGATATTTAATATTTCTCCGGCAAGTATCCAAATCCATTCCAAAGACTTATATGAGTATGGACTGCTGTAAGTGCGGAATTTTTAAGAAAATATTTCCAGTTAACCATGCGCAAATTCATGTCTGCTTGCTTTCGATCGAGAGACAATCGTAATCAGAATATTTCCATCAATCCATTGTTTCCGCCCAGAATCGATCTGGGGACCTTGCGCGTGTTAGGCGCACGTGATGACCACTACACTACGGAAACCTGAATGCCGAAATATGTTCGGCAATGGGTAATTCTTTAATCTTTAATCCTGAAAATTCTTTAAGCACGTTAGCAATTCAGCATGATACGCTGATTTTCAATTGGACGTGCACACTATACCACATATGTTAACCTAATTCTATAATACAAAATAGTGAGGCTTACATACTGGTCAGCTTCACTCTATAATATATACTAATAAATTAAACAACTAATTATTCTAATTATAGTAAAAATCTACTGATATTACTGATTAACCCAAGGGTACTTAATCGGTTCTGTAGTGATTGATGAGCATAGATTAATTCAGCAACATTTAGTGTGATATTGTCGACGTTTTGTCTAATGTTATCCGGGAGATTGTTCGAGATTTTGCCGCTCCATATGAGAAACTTTTTTTGAGAAAATTGTTGTTAGATTTCTCAAGGGAAAGTTGGCAAAAGTTACTTCTCAAGTTGTACGTTTCGTTTGAACAGAAATTAAACAATTCTGTGAGATAATTCGGAGAATTAGCAGTAGGTGCTTTAAAAGTAACAATATTTTCTCGAATAGATAAGCTTTTATGGATTGTCATCCAATTAAGTTTTCGAAATATTTTATTGGACCGTACATTGCCGTCTTCTTTTGAAGTTTAGATAGCTTTGTAAATTTACCGTTAATATATAAGAGAAACAAAAACGGCACAAGGTCGGATCCCTGTGGAACTCCAGACTTAAGTTCGTTTACATCTGATTGCTTTCCATTAATAGAGCAAATCTGTTTCCTGTTACTAATTAGTTCAATAAGATCTAAACCATTTGAGACTAGTTCCTCAGATACCGGAAAGCTCTAATTTGGAATGTCGTATGTTGTGATTGACTGAGTTAAACGCCTTTTTCAAATCTAGAAACAACACCCCGTTCAATCAACCATTATCCAAATTATGAAGCCAATCGTTTGTTAAATCAATTAAAGCGGTTTTCGTGGAGTGGTGGTCTCGAAAGCCTGACTGATTTTTAGTTATTATATTGTTATTCATGATGTAGGTTTTAAGTTGATTACATACAAATTTCTCAAACAGTTTGGCTATGATGGAAATCACAGAAATTGGTCCATAATTGCCACACTCAGTTTTTACACCATCCTTTAAGATTGGTGATACCTTAGCCAATTTCCAGTCATCGGGGTAATTTCCTGTTTGTAAGGATAGATTAAAAATGCTACCAAATGAATCTAATATTATATCCACAGCAGCTTTCAACAGTTTAATACTTATACCAACGATTCCTGATGACTTTTTAGTCTTAATTTGAGAAGACAGTTCAGAGGCATTGATGTTTTTGAAGCAAAAATCATTTTTAATAGGAGATACAAATCGCAATGGATCGGCGCCATTCTCGGTGATATTTTCTGCAAGTTTATACCAAATTGTAGCAAAATAGTCATTGATACAAGCCGCAATATTTTGATCTCCCGTAATAATACGATTGTCCATTTTTAACTGATTTATTTCTGTTAATATAGATTTCTTGTTTAATAAGTTATTTATTGTCTGCCAGCTATCGTAGCTGTTCCTAGTGTTTCCAAGTCTTGTTTTGAAACACTCTGCTTTTGTGGATTTGATAAGGCTATTAACATAATTTTCATGCTTTTTGTAAGCCGTATCGTAATATGCAGATTTAAGTTTAACTGCTTGCTTCTTAAGGAAGTCCCTATGGTAACATTGTTTTTTTTTATTTGCTCAGTAAGCCATGGTTTGTAATCACTTTTTACACGACGTTGTCGAGTAGGCGCATGTTTCTCACCAACATGCAAAAATCTATTTTTCCAATCATGCCACATGTTGTTTGGGTCATCCGTAATAAAATTAGTAGCAAAGATATTTCTTAAATCCGTTCTAAATTCATTAACTCTAGAATGTTTGAATTGCAGACTAAATATTATTATAGGTAGCTCCTTTGGTACAATGACTTTACGGCATATTATGTAGACTAGCTTAAGGCCTACTCTGGGGCGGTAAATCGCCTAAAATCGCATTAAATCGCGGGTTAAAATGGTCGAATTTCTCTTAAATCGCCTAAAATCGCTTAAAATCTCCAACATGCATTCTGTTTGATACATTCAATCCATGTACTCAAGTTTATCAATTGCTGCCAATTTACGGGCAAATCATGTAACCAGGTGCTTCGCAATCAAAAGTAATGGAACATGAATTAGCAATCAAATAAGTGGATTAGGCTGACAATATTTTGTCACTCAATAGGCACCGGTCATTGACCAAAAACAGAGCCTTTTTCTGCTTTATGCAGACTTTACAATAATTAGGTAATTCTGGGATGTGAAAGACCCATAGATCCCATACACTACCAGCAACAAAATTGAGCTAGTTACCAGAATGAGTTAATTTCATTATTGGTGTAAATTTAATACTGTATTATTTTGTTTTTAATTTTAAAATAATTTAGAAATTAGAATTCCTACCATTTATATACGATATACTTCATGTAATTTAAACATTACGGCATTACGCCGACAGTTTCCGAATGCGTGACGATACTTTTTCTGGATACTGGGATATGATAT